CACTTTCAGGTATTTATAAGACGGCTTACGATTTTTCCACATTTCGTAAGGAGTCTTATCTTTCCCTTTAGGTGATATTTTATTCAGAATATGATTTGCTGTTAAAACAGCTTCCCCCCACATGTTTTGGGGTAATCCTGAATTTATCAACATGACATTCATCATTTCTTTTAACGTACGGTTCTTGCGTTCAGCAACACCGTTCGACTGTGGAGAATAAGGGGCTGTCATTTGATGAATTATGCCATATTCAGAACATATTTGTTCAAAAGGAGCTACATACTCCTCACCCCTATCACTTCGGATTATTTTAATCCTTTCGCCAAGTTGATTTTCAACTTCGTTCTTATATATCTTAAAAGCTTCCACAGTCTCGTCTTTGCTTCTTAATAAATATAAGTACCAAACCTTGTGCAATCATCGATAAAAGTAATAAAATACTTTTTACCCGTTCTTGTTTGCACACTTTTCATATCACATACATCAGTATGGATCAAGCCTAATGGTTCAGTACTCCTTTCCACCGAGTGAAAAGACAACTTAGCCATTTTTGCTTCAATACAAATTTCACATTTTGTATTTGTCTCAAATTTAGAATTAGGAATTAATTCTAAATTCATCAACCGTTTAATTGCATTTAAATTTACATGTCTCAATCTAATATGCCATAAATCAGAGCACTCAACGTTATAAACAGAAATAGGCTTTTCATTATCAACGGTTACACGGCTCACAGCCATTACATTCATTTTGAACATACCCTTGCGAGATAGCCACGACCAAGGAATGATCCAAACTTGCTAAGAACAAACTTCTTAGCATAAAACACCAGCCTAAATCCATGTTCAACAAGAAGAGATCCAGAGACCAAATTCTTGCGGATGTCTGGAACATGCAGAACATCCTTAAGCTTCAACTCCTTTTAAAATCAAGCCCATTGAATTTTTCGGGCTTCTCAGCAGTAGGGACATGGACAGTAGGTACATGATTGATCGGATGCTGAGTGATGGAACCATTTCCGGTGGATGCCATCAGTCCAGTAGGTTGAGATATTCTTCTTGCGATTGTTATAACTTTGGTGTCAAAATACACAGGAATCCTACGAACTGATATGTATTTTTCAGTTCTTACAAATAATCTAAAAAACATAGAAAATTACAATCGAACTGAAAAATAAATTACAACTGAAAATTAAATTAAAACTTAAAACGGAGAGATTTTAGCCGAGGCGAGTAAAACTCTTTCCGCAAGAAGAATACACCCCGTGTGGCAGCTAACGGTTCAGGCGTAACTTCTCCAAAGATACAACGACAAACGCCTCTAAATCTGTAGCACACCAGATTTACGAGCTCCGGCGAACTGAAACGGAGTCGAGAATTGAGCACTTAAAAATATGAATAAAAATATCTCTCTTTTGCTATTTTGATAACAAATAAATATTTTTATATTTTTTCTATTCTTTCTTTCTCTCTATCTTTCTCTTCTTTTCTTCTGTTCGGTGCCCCTTCTCCTTCTGCTGATCAGCATATTTATAGATGGAGTCTGAAGGCAATTTGGCCAATTGGCCAACTTTTCCACGCGGTTTCCTCCTCACTGATTGCAATTATAAATTATTATTACAATTATTGTATGAGATCATGTGGCCAATTGTCTAGGAATCTTCACGTGAAATATAGATCTACAAATTGGCCATTGGTAACAAATTCAAGTGGATGGGTCCCACCTACAAATTTTTACTCAATTCTAACAACACAAAGCTGCAATTTCAGGATAGATATTTAGTTTCCAGGGAAGGCAAATAGATATTTAGTTTCGGTGTTGGTTTTATTTTCTTGTGTTTCTCTTTATTTTGTGATTTTTTTTGTTTTTATATTATTCTCCTTAAGTCTTTTATTTTTCTCTCTGTTTTTTATTTTCTTTTGGTTTTAATGGTTTTGTGTGGATGTTCTTGTGTGAAGGGAATTCGACTGAGGAGCTGAATGAACCCAAGTTACCTATCTCCCTCCTCGTACGACTATTCTTGGAATAATGGGTCGGGTTATGACTCAATGTACTATGACCAGGTGATATCTTATCCTCAAGAGCAGTAATGAGATGGTTAAACAAGCATGCCATGTCTTGTAAATGCTTATTTGATCCCGGTTGGGCAGTCTTGTAAATTCAATAATGATTCCTCGGAGTGTAGTGAGAAGCTCAATCGGATTCTCACTATTGTGACATCCCGAGTAGCTCAAGAGAGAAAATCGAGTCTAGATGTGCTTGTGTGAGTGCTCAAATGGAGAAATAAGTGGAGCACATTCAAGATTTGGAAGCTCGAGTCCATAAGTCCATGGTTGTAATCCCCATCCCGAGTCCGTGCCATTATATTAGCCTAAGGAGGATTCTTCGGTGTATTGATCAAAACTTGATCTCGTTCTTGCTCGTGTGATGGCTCAAGCATCCCATGATGAGAGGATTGAGGATAGATGTGCTCGTTTGAGCATGCACTTGGATTGCCTACCGGAGTGAATTCGAGCAATAGAGGATCGAGTTTACGATTCCTCTCTCGAGCCCACCGCACAAAGTGTATTTATGTATGAGAGTGAACCTTGGGAGGAAACTTTGGCGTATAGTGAAAAACTTTGGCGCTTGGCCGCGCGAGCTCTAGCGGCCAACCTTAGTGGCGACGATCGTCGGCAGTGACGTGAAGGTCGAGGAAGGGAGATCAGTGACGGGCGAGAAGGGTTTCAATTCCTAGAATTGTTTGTAAGTAACAATTCCAAAAGTTTTTTAATTTTAGTTTAATTATCATTAAAATTATTTTAATTATAAATTAAACTAAAACATGACTAACAAGTTTTGATCCATGAAAATCTAATTCAAACCATATAGCAATGAACACCAACCCGATGCTCTGTTAAAATTTTGATGTGCGAATCTAGCACACAAGCAGCAAAATTTTAAATTTTTTTCATGACTAAGAAGATCCGACTTTAGCTTTTCAATATGACCATATGTCACATAAATAATAACAGAAAACTTACAGTTGTTTGTAAGTTTTGCCCTGAACTATGGTATCCACGCAATTCAATTCTCCGATGCATGATCTAACGCCATTGAACCTGCTCTAAAGAAGAAGCTAGGAATTCTCGATCCAAAAATTCGGAGAGTGTTTGTCTCTCGATCTTGATATCTCAATCTTTAAGATTTTGTGATCTCTCATGTCTCTCACTATTTTGATCTAAGACTGTGAGGAGATATTAAGGTATTTATAATTAGGTTAAACCTAACGATATGGGTCGTAGGAAACCCTATGGACCAATAGGTAATTGGACATAATCCAATAACAATTTAATTAAGTTTAAATTCAATTTAACTTAATTGAGTATTTTCTATCAAATGCAAGATAATTTCATTACTCATAAATAAATATTCCAACTTAATTTACTATTTAACACTCTCGATTCACTCGTAGTTGAAAAACTAATTTCATATTGTGTGACCCTATAGACATTTATATATTGACCTAAATCTAATTTATGATTCTTACGAAACTCCTGGACTGCATCAAAGGAAAAACTCAAAATATAAAGTACTTTTGCATGTACAAAGCAAATAAATCTTTAGTGTAGAAGTCAATGGTGATAGGTCCCTTCATTTACGAACTACTCGATTAAGCTTAAGACCTAAATGTGTGTCTATCCAAATAGATTAATCATTTTATCTCATCTTAATGGCTGACTTGAACTAATATATTTGAACACCACTTCAAATATAATCATGTGCATTGTCTAATGACTTTTCGACCCAGTACAGAGAAAAAGAATGTTTCTCTCAAAACTATATTCGAGGAGATAATCTTAATCTTGGCTCAACTACCAATTCCATGCATATCGTGATCAACGCAACACAAGTCCGAATCTACCCTATAAGGAACATAAGCGTTGGACTATGTATAAGTAAATCACTCTATAGATTAATTGTGTACTAACCTCAAGTCAAAAACTATTTCACCCTTCCACACACTGATACTTCCATAAACACATAAACAAATGGTTTCTCCAAAGGGTGTACCAACTTCCTAAAATATCAATGTATCCATCATGAATAACCATTATTCATAGTTGTTAGACATACTATATATTCTTAGAGAATAAGATGCAGACCACATGTCAATCTATCATATATCATTAATATCTCTTTCTTAATTAATATCCACTGAGGCTATTTAAGAGTTTTATTTTAACAATCAACATCTCACTCTGTTAATGACAATATTAACTCAAAGAAACGATTAATTAATAAATTACAAATAATCAAATAACATTTAATTAATTACAATATCATAATTATAATCAAATATAGGATTAATATTATTTATATATGTCCTCAAACATATTGTCTCTAGGACACAAATTGTCAAATACTAAGGGGGTGCTTGTTTATGGAATAATTTGTTCAAAATGAGTTATTTTGGTTAACCATAGTCAATTTTGAAAAAGGTGGTATGGTTAGTTGTTAGTGGAATTTTAAGAATGTATTAAAATAATATTTAAAATAAAATGATTAAAATTAATTTGATGTAAAAGTAGGAGATAAATGATTGAAAATGATTGGAAATAATAGGTAGTTAAAATTATGTGAGTGGATAAAAAGTGAATTAAAGTTGATGTGATGTGTAAGAATGATTGGTTTGTATAATTTAATTATATAAATAATATTAAGGATAGTGAAGTTGAGTTAAAGTTGAGTTAAATTTTGAATATGAATTGAATGAGAATAAAATAATTTATAAACAACCATTCCCGAACATTACGAACTCGTGATGTTATTGAATTTAAGTTTACAATGAAACTATTTCTTTTTAAAGGAAAATTCATGCCCGAACATTACGAACTCGTGATGTTATTGAATTTAAGTTTACAATGAAACTATTTCTTTTTAAAGGAAAATTCACTCGGCTATTTAGTAAGACCATTTTGAACTCTGATAACAGAAATGCCTCCTAATAATATTCTCCCATGTCTAAAGCCATTCTCTCTCTCATCAAACCCCGGTACCACCCCCAACCCAAGCCCCAAATCACTCCCCACATCTCAAAAATCGCACTCCAAGTCTGCCATATACTGAGAAGCCAGGACCAAAAATGGGAAGAAACCCTCCTTAATCGACTGTCGGAGGAGGAAATCGCGCCTTCTGAAGTTGCCCACGCTGTGTTCGACAAAATCCGCGACTGCGAATTGGGCCTCAGATTCTTCACTTTCGTCTCCCGGAACAATTTCCCCCTCCAAGGGCCCGCTTATTCGGCCCTTCTCAAGCTCTTGGCCCGCTCCAAATTGTTCGAAGAAACAGAGAACGTGCTGCTAGACTGCACGAGGTGCAAAGAGAAACTACCCACTCGTGAGGCTTTGGATGTCGTCATCCGTGCTTATGCTGACTCGGGTTTAGTATCTAAGGCTCTCGATTTATACTCGTTTGTGCTGAGAACCTTCAATTCTGTTCCCGATTTGTTGGCCTGTAATTCCTTGCTCAACGGGCTAGTTAAGGATGGAAACATGAAGGACGCACGGTACGTGTTTGACGAAATGGTGAGGAGAGATAGTTGTGGTGATAGTTTCTGTATTGATAATTACAGCGTATGTATTATGGTGAGAGGGCTGTGTCGAGAAGGTCAAGTCGAGAAAGGTCGAAGGCTGATTGAGAAAAGGTGGGGGAAAGGTTGCATCCCAAATATTGTTTTCTATAATACTCTCATTGATGGCTATTGCAGGAGAGGTGATGTCGAGAGAGCTTACGGTCTTCTGGAGGACTTGAAAGCAAAGGGTTTCTTGCCTACAGAACAGACGTACGGTGCAATTATAAATGGTTTTTGCAGAAGAGGAGATTTTAACAGGGTTGATCAATTTCTGAAAGAAATGGAGTCCAGCGGGCTTAAAATCAATGCTCAGGTTTATAATAACATCGTGGAAGCTAAGTGCAAGCACGGTTTTGTCGATGAAGCTGTGGGGATCACAGGGAAGATGACCGAATGCGGGCTCGGGCTTGACATAGTGACGTACAATACTTTGATTTCTAATGCGTGTAGGAATGGGAAGGTTAGAGAGGCGGAGAAGCTTCTAGAAGACGCGGTTCGTGGTGGGTTGGCGCCGAACAAGATGAGTTTTACTCCTCTTGTACACGCTTATTGTCAGGAAAGAGATTTCGAACGGGCCTCGGGCTTGCTTGTCCGGATGACAGAATGCGGGCATAAGCCCGATTTGATAACCTACGGAGGTCTTATACATGGCTTAGTTGCTGCTGGAGATATCAAAGCTGCACTAACGATTAAAGACAAGATGGTGGAAAGGAGATTGTCACTCGACCAGTGCATTTACAATGTTTTGATGAGCGGACTCTTTAAAAGGGGCCTTTTATTGGATGCCAGGCAGCTTCTTGTTGAGATGCTTGGCCTGAATCTATCACCGGATGCACATGTATATGCCACTTTAGTGGATGGGTATATCCGAAATCATAAGTTTGAAGATGCAAAAAAATTTTTTGATGATATAATCAAAAGGGGTGTCAACCCTGGGCTTGTTGTGTACAATGCTATGATGAAGGGCTACTGCAAGTTTGGGACGATGAAAGATGCAGTCTTTTGCATTAAAAAAATGATTGAAAGAAAAATTATTCCTGATGAGTATACTTATTCTACGGTGGTAGACGGATACACGAAGCAGAATGATTTATCCGGTGCATTAGCTGTATTTTGCTGTGCATTTAAACGAAATCGTGCATCAAATGCCGTAATTTATACTTCCCTTATTGGTGGGTTTTGTAGTCTTGGGGATATTGATGGAGCAAAAAGAATTTTTGAAGGGATGCTACTAAACGGTATAAAACCAAATGTTGTGACTTATACTGTACTTATAGGTAGCTGTTGCAAAGCAGGGGAACTCACGAAAGCATCCTCGTTCTTTGAGAAAATGCTGATGTGCAAGTGTAGTCCCAATGATGTGACTTATCATTATTTGGTTAATGGATTATTGAACAATGTCGGTTTCGTCATTAGTGAATCAGATGTTAATAAGCCTATGCTCCTTGATATTTTTGGGAGATTAGTATCAGACAGCTGGCTGGCCATATCTGCTGCGTATATCTCAATCATTGCTTGTCTCTGTTTAAAAGGGATGCTTGGAGATGCATTGAAGTTAATCGATAACATGGTGAGAAAACGGCTTATTTTAGATTCAGTGATTCTGGCTGCTTTATTGCACGGTGTTTGTATGGCAGGAAAGTCTAATGAATGGAGGAATGTGATTACTATTAAGCCCGAGTTGTTTGATCCAAATATTGACGCTGCTTTGAAATACCTGTCGGTATTTGATTGCTACTCGACTCACAAAGTGACTAGGGAAGTTTCGGGGATTTTGCATGACTTGCTTGAAGAATGGAAATCAAGCGAGAGAAGGATTTGTGGATCGTGAAGTGTAAATTTTGTTTGAGATGGTGTATATATTTTCAGGGTGATAAGAACAAGATTACAACAGTCTATAAAAGGGTCTGTGTTTCTGCAGTTATGCTAGTTATTAAACTGTCATGTGATTTTGGCTTTATTGTTCATGGAAGACAATAGAACTAAAGATACTTATGCTGAAAGGATAAGTTCCAGATCACAAGATATAAATTGATTGCGCTTCTCAACTAAAAATTCCTGTACCAATGTGCTATAATATCGACATTGGTAATGCGGGCCTAAGCACATCAATGTTCATTTATTGGGCTTCTGTTCGAGAATATCATATTATCTTGTCCACTCAACCATTTTGATTGTATTTGCGTAACTGTCCAGTCAAGCGTGGTGGCCCTTCGGCTTAGTTTCTCCTTGTTGTGTCGATCTTAAATTGAGCACCAGACCAGTGGGACATGGATTCAGTGAAAAACAGGAGGATATATCTTTGTATTCTTAACGAAAGCCAATTAATAAAACTAGTACGTGTGTTTCAATTAAAGCAATTATGATAATAGTTTAGATTTAAGCAATGACGGATGATCGATCTGTAGTGTTCCGTTCGATTAATAAGAACAAGTTTATTTATTTCTCATGAACGCATTTCATATCTTTTCTTTTGTTAGCTCGACTAAAAATCCAATATGTTCATTAAATCATGTAGATGCACTCATTTATTTAAATTATTCTAAATTTTATCAATTTTTTGCTAAGCAAAAAATCAAGACTTTTCAGCCGTGTCACTGTTATTTCCGCCATAGCAATCTTTTTGTTACTTTCGGCCAAGTCAAGTAAAAATTCAAATAAATATGAGCTTTTATGGCAAGATTTCCTTCTCATACCTTACCTTATTACTTAGCCGTTTTTATCCCTTGAGAATCAACCTTAACACTTGGCTAGGGGTGAGCATCGGTGCGGTTCGGTCAAAAACGCACCGCACCGCAAAAAACCGAAAACCGAAAAACTATAATTTCTTCACCGAACCGCACCGCAAGAGAAAGAAAAACCGAACCAAATCGAACCGAATTTTTCAGTTAGGTTTGGTGCTTTTTCGGTTAACGGCAATCATAAAAGAATAAACACAAATAAATTTAAAACCACACAAAATAAACCAACCTACTAGACTTAAACCAGGGTTCGAACATCTAAACAAAAGGAGTGATAGATACAGCATGACAAGCTCAATATATAAAATTGTAAATGCCCTTAAATTTATTGAAAAGCCAAAATTAGGGTCGGGGGTTAGATTGAAGAAAGGGGACGAAATGAGAATGAAAAAACAAGACTGAGAGAGTGCTGAGCTAAATTGAAGAAGCCCGTGGAACAACGACCGAGCACCGGACGGTGAGCAGCAGCAGCGGCCGGCGGGCGGGCTGTGCGCCTGAGGGTGAGAGTGAACGAGCGCTGGAGTGAGAGTGAGCGGCGGATGGGCTGAGCGCACGAGATTTCGATTACTACTGCGGACTTGAGAGTTGAGAGTGAACAATTAGGTTTGCGGATTGTTACAGGCGCGGGGTGAGAGACAGAGAAAGTGGGTGATTAATGAATGCAAAATTTAACTTGTATGTTTTAATTGTAAATGTAATTTATTATTTATATCAGTATATGTACTAATGTTGCTAATGGTACAGGTACAATACAAAGGAAAAGCGTGTTTCATTAAATATATCTCTATATATATAATTACTAGCTAATAACATTTGATAAAACCTATTTAATTTTACCTATGTGGCAATTTAACAATTTTTCCTCCAAAAACCGTTATATTTTGATGTATTTAATCTTTTATTTAATTATTAAATAATTAATACTCATCACTTCAAAATTACAAAAATCATTTTAAACTTTTGATTAGATGTTATTATTGTTGTTACATTTAATTTTTTTAAATAAAAAATATATTTAAAATTTCTAAATAAATAATAAATAATTCACAAATAAAAGACGTACCAAAATATACATTACATCCAATCAGATAAACGCAATTTAAATAAAAAAAATATTAAAACTCTTTTAATTGTAAATTTGGTCTGCAAAAAAGTGAAAGAAAAATAATTAATCATTATATGCATACAGACTCACAATAATTTATTTATATCTGTGCAAATGCACAGGTCGAATACTAGTGTATGTTGTATGTACACTTCATGATATTCGGTGTGGTTCGGTTAAAACCGCACCATTCAGACAAAAAACCGCACCGCACCGCACCGAAAATTTTGCGGTTTTTTAAAATCCAAACCGCACCGCACACCGAACTCGAAAAAACTCGAACCGAACCGCACTGAATACATTGGTTCGGTCGGTTTTTTGGTTTCGGCTCGGTTTTGCTCACCCCTACACTCGGCCAACTCATGCAAGATCATGCTTTTTCATATTTCAAATCATCTTGTGAGCACATATGGTAAGCATCTAATCCCCCTAACCTCCCTTTTCTCGACCAAATCAAGCCCCCAAAATCTGCCCAAAACTCCAACAAAATCAACCTCCTTATTCCCTTAAGTCAAGCTTTGCTTGGTATTCTATTCCTCTTTTATACACTCATCATCACGGCAAGGACGAGAATTTTTCCCTCGGCAAAAGAACTCCCCAAATCACAAAAGCGCTCTCTATTTCTCCTCTAAAAAATCTTAAAAAAAAAAAAAATTCCTTCCTTTCCGGTGTCATCCGAGCATCACCACTTCCCGGCGGCGAGACCCGAGACCATCACGCGAGCGCGCCGAAACGAGCCCCGTCCATGCGCCTTGCCGAGGAGAACCACGAGCACTCCGCGAGCACGAGGAAATCCAAGGAGCAGCGAGTCCGAGAGCAAGTACACAATCCCGTCCGCGAGCACGAGTAGCCGAGGCCCAAGCGAGACCGAGAGCATCCGCGCCGAGCCCAAGTCTCAAATTCGATCTCTTTGCTTTAAATCCAAGAAGAAGGTAATTTTTCTAAGCAATTTGATAATTCTTTCCCAAGAATTTGGCTTAGATCTAATAAGAATAATGAAGATTTATTTAAGTCTTATGAGAAAAGTTTGGATCCATTAAAATTGGTTAATTATGAGGTCATTCATGTGGTCTATGTAAAAATTTATGAAGTTTGGAACTCTCTTTTGTGCCCTAAAAATCCAGCCTTAGAACCTTGTAATCTAGCTTATTTTGTGTGAGAGGACCATGATTTTGAAGCCTTGTTTATGTTGAAATCAAGCCTTTTTACGCCATGAATTTCTTAGCCTTTTATGCCTTGAAGGATTCGAATTACTGTTGTGAAAAACCAAATATTTTGTGACCCTTGAAGCCGTGTTAGAACCCTTGTTGAGTCTTGAAAATCCCTGATCTAAACCTGGCCGGGAGCCACCGTGCACCGAGAGATCGTCGGTCCAGACGTCGCATCGTGTCGGGCATACAACAGCCCTCGTAGGCGCCTCGCTCGCAGGTGTGCAGTGCGCAGCGTGCCGCGATGCAATGCGCCCAGTCACCTCGCTCTGTGCCGCAGCTGCTACCGCCTGAGCGCACGCGTCATTCTCCGCATCTCCTGCAAACATCCCAACGTGCGTGAACGCGCGCACAGCTTCCCGTACAAGCAAGCGGTCCCAGACGCCAGCGTCGTCCCCAGCATCCCGCAACAGCTCCCGCAACATACCCTAGTAAAAAGGCGCGCGGGAGGTCAAGCCGCAGTGCACTGGAGAGTGCCAAGTTTCGTCGAGCAGGGTAGTGCTCAGGCAACCAGTGCCAGCAGCAGTCAGACCCGAGCCGCGCCCAGCCAGCTAGACCCAACCAACATCGAGCCGCGTGCCGCTAAACTGTTTTCAAGCCTTTGAACTCATTTTCGAGTTGAGTGCCATTTTTAGCTTCGAGAACCTTTTTCGGAGCATTAATTTACCCTCAGCCGAAAGTTCCAAAACTTAAGATAATTTACTTTACTAAGTCAAGAAGGCTTTAATTTAATTAAATTTATTCAAGTTGGTAATTATCTTACTAAGAGAAAGATAAGTTATTTACAAAAGTTAATTTCTTAAAATATAGATTTCGAGGAGTTGAGCCCTCGAGCATCTCTTTGAAGCATCAGCATATCATTCATCATTCGAATTAAGGTGTGGTGTTTCTATACTATGTCTTATTCCTAATAATTACGTGATATTATTGTTGTACGTTGTATGAGTATTATCGCCTGTGTGGGGCAAAACTTTTATAACCCTGCCTGTGATTGGCAGCGCCTGTTAGAGGTAAAGCATTTATAACCCTGCCTGTGAGGGGTAGCGCCTGTGAGGGGCAAAACATTTATAACTCTTGCCTGTGTGGGGCAGCGCCTGTGAGGGGCAAGCATTTATAACTCTTCCTGTGAGGGGCAGAGCCTCTGAGGGGCAATATGATCATTTATTTATGTTTTATGCTAATGTCATGGTATCTATTAATTATTCTGAATAATTTGTAGTAAGGTTCCCAAGGTGAGCTAGTTGTTTTACCCACCCCCCTCAATTATCATTTTCAGGTTGAGCAGCTGACGGCGAACACGAAAGGGAGAGAGTGGTCTAATAATGTTATTCATTTTATGCTTCAACATACAGTTTTTAAACTCATTTCATGTTTTAGCTATTTCATGTTACGAGAATGAGACTAAATTGTTTCGACTGAGACCATGTATTTGAAAATCCTGTTATGTCTTGATTGTTTGAGAAGCGAGTACGCAGTTTGGGAAGTGATTTAGTTTACCGCTCTATATGGTCATGGTCATGTATTTATAATTTAAATAATGGTTAGCTGACCAAGTTTGTATTTATTTTAAATAGTGCGTAGCTGACCAAGTTTTAAAGTACAATAGTTTTGTACCATATATAGTTAGGTATTTATTTATTTATTTTACCGCTCTATATGCTCATGAATTCAAATAGTGGTTACCTGTCCAAATTCTAAAATACAATTATTTTTGGTACCATAAATGTATTTCGATTTATTTCATAATTTTCAATGTGAAAAATTAGCATTTATCATT